TCCATAATCACATTGAACAACTATACAAAAGTCCAGCAATAAATAACCAACCTCAATCAAGTGAAAAGCCACAAGTATAAATGGAAAACCAACCGTAATCAATACCATCCAAACTTATGGGATATAAACAACCCACATATTAAAGTAATCCTAATTGAACCTCAAAGAAATATGCACAAACTTGACAAAACACTCTAAAATAAATGAATGTCCTAGAGGTCCATGCAATCGAGTCTCAGCTACGCCATGAGTCCACTCTAAGTCCTTCTAACACCTGGAAATGATAACAACTAAGTCAGCTGATAGCTCAATGAGTAGCAACATGGATAGTAAATACAGTTTTGAAAATAGGGTTCAATTCCAAAATAAGATATATATCACAGAAACTAGATTGGCATACAGTTTGGTAAATACAATATGTTTCAAAAAGAAGGTTCCACAGTTCAACACTTAAAATACTCATGTCTCGCAAGAACCTGATAAACCACATTTTCCACTTAAAACAGATTATAACATGAACACCAATAATTTTCTGGGTACCAAGAAAAACAAATAATATGCCACACAGTTCTCAAGGCTATAAGCCTTGCTGGATCCAATACCGAACTAAGAGTCATTCTCAGGGTGGCACCTGGGCCTTTTCTCAAAGAAGATCCGATTGAAGGTCACCTAGTTGTTTTTAAAGGTCTTTTCCTTACAATCGTTAAGCACTAGAGTCATAACAACCCAACCTGGATCTGTTCCCTAGTGGCCAGAGTCACCACACACAGTGGAATAATTTCCCTGGACGAAATACACACATGGTCCCAATAATCAATACACATTAGTTTCGCAAAACATGGTAGTTTATCATTATAAACATGAGACCAAAACAAATAGTCTACAGTATGCCAAGTTCACACATGTTTCAAAAGTAATTTGATTCAATTGATAATATAATAATTTATCAAAACAGTTTAATCATGAAACAACAATTTAATTTTCCAACAGTTCAGGGTAGGGGAACATTTATAAAAATATGTAGCATGAAACTACTTACCTGAAAATGAAATAATATAATCCTCAAATAGAGTATGAAAGTCTAACTAGTGCCCTGAACCAAGTATAAAAACTACACGTCACAAGTAATTTAAAAATACTAAAAAATAGGAACTAAGTAACCTCAACTAAAGCGCACTAACACGGCTCAACCCAACTCACCGTTACTCTTAAATATTACCTAAGTTCATGTTCTTCAAGGTTTAAAATCACCCAAGACATGGGCTCCGGTCAAAACTTAATTAATTGTGACTTTAAGATAAAATAAAATTTCAAACAAGCCTTCCCAACCTATTCGCTAACTTTGAAAATTACAAAACCCACTCCACGCTATTTGAAAAATTCCAATAACCTCTAGATATGATCTAATATATCCTAAGTTTCAAACCCAATTGGTTTCACTTGATTTGCTTATCAAAATAATTATCTACAATTTATTATATCCAAACAGGTTATTTTCTGCAGCACTTTAAAGAAATTGACGGTTATCTTAATATACACGAGCAATCAATGCAAGGCCAAAAATGTACGAAACTAGACTCGTAACCGGTTCTAATGACACTAATTTGATAATTTTCGGATTTATACCCAAAGAGAATGACACTCCCGAATTTACTGTTTAAAACCAGCTTTCTGGACAGATTTGAACGCATCAGTTTATCTGGATTCTGACTCTCAAAAATTATGAAAAAATTCAGATATGCAATTCAATATGTAATTGATCTACTGTAAAAATTTTAATTCAAAATTCATTCGTTTGATATGGTTTCTTGATTTTTAAGTTTGCGATTCTGTGTAGAATTTTTAAACTAAAAATTACACCCATTCTTTACACATGAATTTAGCTCCTCAGATTTCTTAAATGTGTATACATATATTTACAAAATACATAAACCTACAACCTCTCCATGAATGAATAAAATAATTATAGAATAAGGATGAAGAACAAAGAAAGAAGAGAAGAAAACCTGGGAGGGCTAACCTTTGATGATCACACACAACACAACACACCCAAAAATTCTTTGATTGCAACATCTTCTTTTCTTTTTCCTTCTCTCAAACCCTCTCCTGTGGCTGCTGTGTTGTTGCCCTATGTGGTGAACAAATAATAGAGTAGGATTTGTGTTTATTTTATTCTATACTAGTGGTGGGCACACATAGGTCAAATAAATAGATAAATATACAAAACATATGTATAAGTTATATGCAACTCAAATGGTAGGAGTCAAAAAATCTAAAAAAACCACTTTGATAGTTATCTTTAAAGTAGATTGAATCTGAAAATTTGTTCTTGTTAACAGTTTCATGTTCTTATTTGATTAAATATGCTGCTTATTATCTGTTCAAACTTTAGTATGGCATCTACATATGTTTTTGGTTGTATTACCTTAATTTTATGCCATGAAGTGTTCATACGTGTGTAGAAGTTGTTATTTCAATTACTTGTTCTAATCTTGACTTAAAACACTTAACACAAATGAAAATTTAATAAGGGTGGTATTGGGTTTTTGATCACTTGAATAATGTTATCAAATAATGCTTATGTTGCATTTGAATTGATTGGTGGGACGTGTTCCCCAATTGAAGGTTAAATCTTGCGCAAGTGGTTGTTTCAGAACCCTTGAATGGGTCAGTTGTATTTGAACCCTAGGTATTTATGATGGATAAGATTGGAGGAGGTTGTGGGCAAGACCCTTACTTTTACTGTCTCTTTTGAGGTCCTTGGTTGGTGCTACGCAATATGTAACCGTTGTAGACATCTGGGGCAAGGTTAGCAAAGCAGCAAAAGAGGGGGGCATCCGAATAATCCGAGTCCAATTCTTGCGGTTGGGAGAATGAAATCTCTTTAAGAGATTTCTAGATTACTAACATCTAACATTGTAATCTTTTATTATTGACTTGAATATCATGCTTCATTACTTGTTTGTTATAATTATGATTGTGTATTGGATTGGAAAAAGGGACCGAGTGTGTGTGTGTGTGTTTATTGGACATTCTAGGCTTATGGCATTCCATGTTAGGTATTGAAGATGATTATCCGGATGAAGAAGAAACCAAAACATTTGAATACATTTGGCTATCATAGAAGAAGCTAGAGATTATCTTTGTTTAAGTCCATCTGTGATCTCATTTTCTTTTGAGAATGTAAAATTGATGGAACTTTTTGTTTTGTAACTAAGTTATAACTTTCTAATTATTATTTTGCTTATATATACATATATCTTTTGTATAATTATTCTTATCCTTCTATCAATTTACGTAAACCTTGTGCTATACCTTGTTAAGATCTGTCAAAAAGGTAGTTTTGCTATTTAATGAGATTGAACTTTGAATGGAGGCTATATTGACTCATCTGATCTTTCCAAGGATCTTACATGGTTATTGACCAAATGGCTCATTGGTGATGTTTCCTAGACTTGTAACCATAGAAAAACCCTATATTTATTTATTAATATTATTCCTTGATATTTCCAAGTTTGGGGTGTCACAAATAGGCTCTCAAGTACTACTGAAACCACTTTATCGACTCCTAACCAGAAGGAACTTGGTATCTATTCTGTGCATGTTTTCAGACATTCACCATGAACCTCAAGCCTATCTTAATTCTCAACTCTACACCCCTTACCGGATTCACCCAGGTATTTATCTCGTAACTCAATACATTTCAAATATTTCCAATGAATCAACTTTGAAAACCAATTTCTCAATTCCAATGCAAGAATTAAATCATGAGGTTATGCGATGATCAGTATTATGCACGAATTTGTAAATATTTCAATTCACCTAATTCGCATGTGAATTCTACAATAATCAATACAACCCTTCACCGATTGTCAAAAATAATTATCTCTATTCAAAATGTAAATTCCAAGACACAATATATAATAAGAGTACAATGAACAACTCCCAACAATATCAACATGGTAGATAATTCTCATCCTTTCTCAAGAGTCCAATATTTTCAGTTTAAATAATATTCAAAAGAAACCCCAATGATTTTCAATATTCTTAACAACATTTTCATCAATCTCATCCTTTTGAACATACACTTCCAAATTACATTGTTTATAAAACACATGTTTCAACACTGGTAATTTCTCATGAATTTAACCACAAAATCTCAATTTAAACATTTCAAATTTCTAGGATTTTATCAAAATTTGGGGGTTTATCATTTTAAAGATACATTCCTAAAAATTCATGAGTCACACAATAACCACACTAAACTAATAAGAAATTTTTCAAAAAAGATTGAGAACTTCTCCCTTTTTATAAAATAAATACATTCTTAATAAAACCCTAATCTCTTCAAGTGTTATACTATCAAAATAACACATAATAAAGTTAAAACACGTACATAGTGTTTAGAAGATCCCTACATCAAGCTCTAGTAGAGAGAAGAGAGAAAAATCTCAAAAATTGGCGGTGTCAGAATTTGATCTCCACCAGTCAAAACAATGCCCCAAGATGCTTGCCAAAATGACCTTAAGAACTAAAATCTAAATATCAATGGATTTAGGTGGATTGAAGATTTTGTGTGATGAATGTTAATGGAAGAAAAGTTGAGAGAGAGAGAGAGAAAGAGAGAGACGACAGAGAAAGACGAAAGAGGAAGGACCTCTCTGCCAAGAGAGGAAATCAGGAGGGGTGGGAGGGCAGCCTCCACGTGGGCTTGTCCTTCCTCTCTAATAAATTTTATATATATCTTACTATTATAAATTAGAGGCAGTTTAGGTACTGCTACAGTAGATGGCTCCTTCTTTTTTTCTTCCCATTTTACCCTTTTGTTTTTTGTCCTATTACATACATATTTGGTTTGGTTAAAAAATAATATTTAAGTTTCATTCTAATTTGATTTCATCATCAATTTGCATCATACCTAGCAATCTACATTTAGGTATAATCATTGCATTTGGATAATTTCAACGTATATAGAATCAAAAAGTCATTGAGGTTCTTTTGTCCTCTCATGTAGTGTGAATGAAGTGGTGTTGCAGTGGAAAAGGAAGATTTGAGAATTTTAGAGTTCAAGAAGTTTCATGAGAGTTTAATCTACACAATCGCAAATTTGCATTTTTAGGTACTCTTCAATTCTATTTTCATACTTCTCATGCTTTAAATGTGTTCTCAATAAAGGTAATCGCCTGAAATTTTGATTTTTGTGAATTTTATAGGGTGAGTTAATTCTAATGGTTTGCATTCTGGGTTGGGTTTTTTTTTTTGGTTATTTTTGTTTCCTTTTCTGCACTATAAATTTCGTCGTTCATGAGTTTTGGCTTAAATTTCGGAAATTTTTCTTGTAACTTGTGTTATTCTGGTGATGCTTGGTTGTTGAGAAAGCGAAAGAAAATGAAAACTAAAAGATTTTAATATTCTTTATATACATTCATATATATATATATATATATTTACTATATATATTTACTACCTCCGTTTGGCCATTGGTTTAAGGATGAAATGTAGTGCTAAGGTTCAAGTCAGTGCCAATTTTCTTCTACAAAGTTCTCTAAAAGTGAGCAAGGAACTTAGTATCTCCATCAGACACAATAGAGATAGGCACCCCATGCAACTTATAGACTTCACTGAAGAAGAGGTTAGCAATATTTATAGCATCCATGGTCTTCTTACAAGCTGTAAAATGTGCCATCTTGGAGAAACGGTCCACCACTACCATAATAGAATCACTCTTCCTTTGTGTTACCTTTGTGTAGGAGGTAAACCTAACACAAAGTTCATACTAATGCATTGTCAAGGACCATCCAGTACCGGTAAAGGCATATATAATCCCTCATTAGTTGCAGTCCCTTTGCTTCTTTGACAAATTTGACACCGCTTCACATGGTTGCCCATATCCTTAGTCATGTATGACCAATAATAAGCATCTTGAAGTAACCCAAGGGTCTTGTCTTTGCCAAAATGTCCCAATTTGTAATGCTCAATCAACAAATGCCCCTCAAGGAACAATTAAGCACACACAACTTAAGGCTATGGAAGAGGAAGCTATCTCTAATCATGTAACTTGGATAAGTAGCCCTATCCTTCTTTTGCAAAGCATCAAAAATCTTGGAGAAGTAAGGGCCACTTGCATAGAATTTATGAAACTCTTCAAAACGTATAACTTCATTCTTCATTTCAATCGAAAGAGTTATTCGCCCTATCGGCCAGTGTATTAACAACCCCCGATTTATGGCATAAAAAGAATGTAAATTGTTGCAAGTAAGCCACCTATTTAGCATGTCTCTTGTTGAAATGAGAATGGGTGTTGATGTACTTCAAGGCCTCATGGTCGGTATTGAGTACGAACTCCTTATAAGCAAGGGCACCCAAGTCGTGCTCCATCTACCAGGGCTTAATGTATCAATGTGGTCAACCTAGGGTCATCTTGCTTCAAGCGAAGTGCATACTTTGTTGCTGGGCTCTAGTATTGCAGTCGTTGTCATATCAAGGACCGCTTATGCTCAATGATGTAGTAGGAGTAGTCCACCTCCACCTTTTGTACATATCTAATGATCATGTCTTATATGGCTAGCTCACATCGTTGGTTACTATGGTTGGTTGTGACAAACATAGCCCTTCTTTCTTAAAAGTGAAAAGCTCCTTAGGTGTCAAACCTGACATCGCATGATGATGAGAACTTGCCCAGTGCCATCTTACAGTAGAGAAAGGGATTTTCATTGTTAGTTTCTTTTAGGTTACAATATTAATTAAGTATAGTGCTATGATAATACATTAATGTAAGGGTTAGGGTAACATTACTGGAGTTGCAAATCGGATCATGAAGGTTAAAAGTTTGAACCTAGGCTCTGATACTAGGTTGTGATGCCCCCAATTCTAATACAAGGGTTGAGATCAAGGAAATATCACTGATGAGTCATTTGATCAATAACCAAGTAAAATCCCAAGAAAGATCATAAGAGTCAAAATAGTCTTCCTTCTATATCCAATCTCCTTAGATAGCAAAGTTACCTTTTTGACAGATCTTAATAAGGTATTTACTCAATGACAACATAAGTTGATGGGAAAGGAAATGGTAGGTTTACACAAGATAATATAGATACATATAGCAGAAGTAATAGTTACAAGAATTAAGTCAAGGTTACAAAACAAGTAGTTCCATCAATATTACATTCCAAAAATATGATTACATGATGAACTTAAACAAAATAAGTTCTAATTCCTTCTAAGATAGCCATACGTCCTCGAAAGTTTTTGTAATGCCGTCATTAGGGTAAAATTCTTTAACGCCTGGCATGAAACACTATGAGCTTGGAATGTCCAGTAAACTCACATACACATCGCCCCATTTTTTTTCCAATCCAACACACAATCGTAATTACAATAACCAATAAAGCATGATATCCAAATCAAGAGATAAAAATGTTACAATTTTAAGTGTTAGTAAACTAGAAATCCCCCAAAGAGATTTCATCCTCGCAACCACAAAAACTGGACTTGGATTATTCGATACTCCTTCTTGTGATGTTTTGTAGACCTTACCTCAAATGCCTACAACAGTTACTTACTGTGTAACATCAATCGTGGACCTCAAAAGAGACGGTAAAACATGGGTCAACACCCAAAACCTTTCTAACCTTATAACACCAATATCAAAAACCACCTAGGGTCCGAATATAATCAATCCATTCAAGGGTTTCAAAATGAATCACTTGTGCAATACTTAATTCTCGAATAAGGAACACATCCCACCAATCAATACTTGAAATTAGCATGCCATTATCTCATAAAATTTACTTTAGTGATCGAAATCCCAACACCACCCCTTTTTAGTTTTCCGTTGAGTTAAGTATGGTATGTCTGGGTAGAACAAGCTATTGAAATAACAAATACTACACAAGTATAAACATTTCAAGACATAAATTCAAGGAAATACAGCTACAAACATACATAGATGGTATACTAAAGCTTGATTAAACAATAGGAGGCTTATCGAATCAACTAAGAGTACGAAACTATTAAAAGTAACAAATTTTCAGATTCAAATCACTTTAAAGATAGCTATCAAAGTAGTACTGCTAATGGTTCTTAAAACTTGGCCTTGTGTGGGTCTGAAGAGAATTTTGTCTAGTTTCAAAATCAATTTTATGGAAGTGGGATAGCCTTTCTATATTTTTAGTTATTAATGAAATACTCCAGGTCTGTCCAGATTCAGCAGCAGTTACGAAAATCAGTTTTTCTTTCAATCAACTCATTCATTTCTATTGAAACCAATTTTACTTGAAATTTAACACTTTAAGGAATTATTTGATTCAAAAATGAGCCCCAAGGAAATTTTTCTGCATTTTTCTAGAATTTTTGAAAGTTGGTTGAAAATATCGTCTCATAGTGCTCAAAACTTAAAATAAAAATGTTATAAGAAAAAGAGTCAACCATGTGTAATTGGACACTTCTCATATGATAAAAACATGCCAAATAATGTATTAATAACTCATATTTTTGGCTTGAAGAAGTGTCTTTTATATGATACACTAAATAGGTTAGAACTTGATAAATTACTTCAACACAATTTGAACACAAGCAAGGTACTCATCAATACTCAATCACATTGTAATGAACACATAAGAATGATATATAAGAATATGAAATCTACATTTTGGACACATAATATCATGTATTTAGAAGATAAAAGAAATGAATAGAGTGGCTTGTGGCTTACTTGTTGCTAGGTTGCTAAGATTGGACAAAGCTCTCTCTCTCTCATGCTCGCTTTTTTTTTTTTTTTTCTTCCTCCTTCCTCCCAAGCTCACAACTTGCTCTCCTCTCTCTTCCTCAGCCATGTGTGTGATGGTGTGTGTTTGATTGTGCAAAATATGCAAGGGTGGTTCTATTTATAGGAAAAAAGCGATGAAAGGTCTAAAGTGCCCTTGTTTGGAATTGAATGGAAATAATTTGTATTTTGTTGAAAGTTAATGAAATGATGGTTGATTCAGAGGTTTAAGTGTGGTTTAAATCATGATTTAGTTGTATTTTGGTTTGATAGCTAGTACAAGACAAGTCTCCATGATTTTGGGTCCAAATCACAAATTCTTCCTTAAATTCTTGAATCATGCTTTCAAAGTACACCACAAGAATCCACCAAGGGGTGGCTAGCCATGTGCAAGGGAGTTTGAGGGTTTTTCACATTTTTTTGGTACAAATACACGTTAAAATATTGTAGATATTTGTGAAAAAAGATTATTATAATGAAGTGTAATTATATATATATATATAGATATACATAGTAATGAAATTGAGACTAAAGTGCAATTTTTTTTGGGTACAAATATTTATGATTGCTGCTCCAGTGTTTGTGACAATAATGTCAAAGGCATGGGACATCTTGATTTTGTAACTATATCCACACACACATGATTATACAATCATCTAACTTGTTTGATGTTTAGGTTGCATTTTACTCTCTTATTGTATATTTTGCTACATCAATGGGCACGCACACTGTTGCTGCTCATCAGGTTTGTATCGCATACTTTAAAATCCCCTTTATTTTCTTTCTTTATCTGCATTAAATTCTTGTCTGTAAGAAACTGATGGACATTTATACTGCCAAATTGTCATTCTAGGTCATGATGCAACTTTATGGCATGTGTACCGTGTTTGGTGGGCCTCTCTGACAAACTGCTCAGTCATTTATGCCTGAGTTGATGTATGGAGTTAATCGAAGTCTGGCAGAGGTTAGTTAAACTTGCGTTCTTTTTTTATGGGTTTTATGGAATTATTTCATGTTTCATGGATAAAGTTGGAGTGTAGTGCATGATTACTATTCCTAAATTCCTATAACTGACGTCTGGCTCTACATGATTTCCATATGCAAGTGATCATTGGAGCACTTAGCTGATTGATATTAGGTTTTATTGGAACATTTGTTCCCTTGACGTTCCCCAATTTTTTTCACCAGATCTTGAGGTCATAGGGGAGGTTAGTTTTGTGTTTTTTTTTTTGTTTTTTTGTTTTTTTTTGTATTTTTTAGCCATTATATATATTTTTTTCTTTGAGCATTAATGAATGTCTAGATTTTTGCCTTTTCTTATATTTGTTGTTTTAGCTTGTGTAATCTTATATTATCTAGGAAAGAACCAGAGACATGTATAGCTATTATGCTCTAATGAGCATTATAGACACTATCATTTCTTGTAGCTCTAATACATGCCGCTTAAATAGGATGGTCACTTACAGCACATTTATCCTTGATTATCAATAGATGGGTTTAATGGAATGCAAACACTCTATAGATGTGTTGTGTTTTTCATATTATCTGAAAAATATAAAAATGTAACATTTTCTTGTTTTCCTTGATTAAAATTGTCCATGCAGATGCGTAAAGTGTTGATTCCATACTTCCTTGCTGGTATGCTTGTTTTTGCACAAAATGTAACACCCTGTATTCATAGCCTTGAGGAGAGGACATTGCTGGTATGATTGTTTTTGCTTTTTACTGGGTTTTTATTGTTTATTTATTTATTTTTATTTTTATTTTTGAGGTGCCTTTCTTTTCATGCCACAGAAATGAATATTGATTTTAAAAAAAGGGAATCATATGTATGGTAATGGGTAGATTTTAAGTACACAGTGTGTCACATTTACAATTTTCAATTGTGCTTAAGAGATCAAAATTTGTATTCTATGTTGATGCAAAAGGATCAACAACCAAAACCAGTATTAGCTAATATTGCATAATACCTCTTTATTTTTATCTTATAATCTACCGATTGAAAATTGGCTCTGATTTTCTTTGTCAACAATGGTTGCTGATTGAACACAAATGAAGAAGCTGAAGATTTGGATTAACGATTCAACCAAGTTACTCCATGGTAGGGTGGCTGATCTTTAGATTCTGTTGGTGGCTTTCATAAATGTTGTCGGTGGCTTGTTGAAGACTTTGGCTCTCCCATTACATCTATGAATGGTTAGTGAGTGGGAGGGGTTTGGTGTGGCAATCAGAAGAGAGTGTAAGCAGAGTGTAAGTAACTGAGTGAGTGTGAGTGTGAGTAGAGTGAGAGTATTGTCTACTGCTCCTCCATTGTTAAAATTTTTGTATTTTTCTCCATATAGTGAAATCCGCTGCCCGTGGCCGTAGGTTATTTTGCCGAAGCATGTAAATCTTTGTGTGTTTGTGCTTGTGTGTGTTTATTTTCTACCTCCTAGGCACAACAAATTGGTATCAGAGCATAGTTGTGACAAAACAGAGCATTTGCAACTATGTTTTCTATAAACTGAAAATTTCGAAGTTCTCGAATTCACGTTTTCAAGATACCAGAATGTACGCCTCGATGAGACGAGTCCAGTCCTAGAAAGACTAACCCAAGCAGAATCCTCACGCACCCTCACACACTCTGTCGAAGTTTGGCCGAAGAGTCACTAGAAAGATAAGTCTGACGAAGACGTAGACGTTGAACAGAACAATGCATCACTAAACCTGAAGTCTTGCAGTATTCATTTGCACAAGAATAAAACACAAGTCCACACTTGGCAGAGTGGTTATAGCCTTGGTTCCAAAACTTGAGGTCAAGGTTTCAAAACCCTTCACAAACAAATTTTCAAATTATTTTTTGGAAGCTGCCAAGTCGTTGCCATTCCATCGCCACGTCACTGCCATATTCGTGCCACGTACTGCCACATGTGAAGCCACACCAGCAACATCTCAACTGCCACGTCAGCACATTTGCCAAGTCATCATCCCAGTCAACTAAAATGTTTAAAATTGCAGAGAGGCCCTAAAAGTTTAGAAAATTGCCTTTCAGCCCCTGATCTTGCTGAAATTGCAATTTAGCTCTTGAAACTTTAATAAATTGTAGTTAGGTCCCTGGAGTTTTGGGAAATTGTAATTTGGCTCCTAGATTTGGAGACATTTCATTGAGGTCTCTGGAGAGGTGGAGAAAGTGCTTTCCTAACCAAATTAACAGTTCCGGACGCAGACGCAGATTCTGTTTTTGAGATTCAGACCCGAATTTTTAGTGAAGTTTTCGAGAGCTTAGAATTTATCGTGATCCCGACATTTCAAGCATCCGCTATTGTTTGTGGTGGAGATTTTTTTTTGAGAAGTCTAATGGCAGAATCTACAGAGTGGAGATCAGTTGAGTCTACAAGCAGCGCCGTAGTTGCAAGCAACTCTGGGCATTGGACCCCCAGGTCCCATGCTAAGTTTGAGGTAGAGAACTTTGATGGTAAAAGCAACTTAGGCATGTGGAGATGTGAAGTTAAAAATGTGCATATCTAGATGAACCTGCATTTCACTCTTGGAGACGAGTCAGATGACTTGGATAACATAGAATGAGAGAAAGTTAGGTTGTGTTTGGTTAGCTTCTCCAAACATATTTCCGCCTCTTGTTTTGAGTGTCTTGTTTGTTTAGAGTTTTCAAAAATTAATTCCACACCCACTTTTGAAAACTCTTTCCAAGGTAGGAAAATTTGGGTTAACCAGTCGTCCTCCCTGGACGTTCGGTCGGTTGACCAGAACAGTGCTAACTCTTTTTTTTATTTTTTTTTATTTTTTTATTTTTTACAATTGGCACCTGTTATTTTTATATTTTAAATAAAAAAAATCAAAATTTTTTATGAGCTTTGAATAGAATTTTGAGTTGTGTGTTTGTTTATGAGTTGTAAGTTTTTGTATCAAATATCATATGTCATATCAAAAATTCCAACCTTAATTCAAAACTTTTTTTAAAACTCTTTTCAAAACTCCTAACCAAACAAATTTTTCACACTCAAATCATAATTCCAAAACTCGAAATACAACTCTATTCTCAAATCATAATTCCAAAACTCTTCCAAACACCACCTTAATCTCCTGGCCTGTAGTTCCATCCGACTTTGCCTTGCAAAAGAAGAAAAGTACACATTCACAAAATATGATACTGCGAAGGAGCTTTGGAAGGCGCTGAAAGACTAGTTCATGACAAAGAGCATTGAAAACCAGCTCTACTTGAAGAAGATGTTGTTTCGTTTCGACTACAAGAAAGGAATTTCAATGAACGAACACCTGAACAATTTCAACAAAATTCTTGTCGATTTGAAAAACCTGGATGTTCAAATCGATGATGAAGATAATGCACTGTTATTGTTAAATTCCTTGCCTGACACATATGACCATCTCACCACCACTTTACTGTATGGTAAAGAAAAGATCAAGTATGTTGATGTTTCAAATGCCTTGGTAAATAATGAGTTGAAAAGGAAAGATAAGTTTGCAAACAGGGACTCAGCATCAGAGACATTGACAATCAGAGATAGGATGAATAACAAAAGATATACAGGGCGAGAAAAGTCTCACTCAAAATCCAGAGGGAGATCATTAGATAAAAGACGTCTTGCAAAAGACGAGTGTGCTGCTTGTCACCAGAAGGGGCATTTGGAAAAAGATTGTCCCAATAAAGACAAGAAAGAGGAAAATGTGAAAGTTGCACGAGATTGAGATAATGGTGAAGGATCAGCCTTCGCAGTTTCATCACTTGGCCATTCTGATGAATGGATTCTAGATTCCGGATGTTCCTACCACATGTGTCCTATCAAGTAGTGGTTTTCGAGCTTACAGGAGTTCGATGGAGGAGTTGTGTTAATGGGCAGCAACCAAGCTTACCGAACAAAGGAGATTGGAATAATTCAGTTGAAGATGCATGATGGAATAATCAGAATTCTTGAAGATGTTCGGTATGTACCTGATTTGACAAAGAATCTCATCTCAGTGGGAGTTTTAGACTCTAAAGGTTATAGAGTAACTGTTGAATGTAGAGTTCTCAAAGTGGTACGAGGAGCATTTGTTGCAATGAAGCTTATTCGAAAGGGAAATTTATATTTCCTAGACGACTCTACAATCACAGGGAGAGTGGCTGTCTCCACTGGCTCAGAGGATGATGTATCAGACACTTCTAGACTTTGGCACATGCTCCTAGGGCATGTCGGTGAGAAGGCTTTACAAGGGTTGGTAAAGCAAGGCCTATTGAAAGGTGCCAAAACAGGGAAGCTTGAGTTCTACGAGCATTGTGTATTGGGCAGGCAAACAAGAATCAAGTTTGGTAATGCCATTCATCGTACCAAAGGAATTCTGGACAACGTTCACACAGATGTTTGGGGACCTTCCAAAAATGCTTCTTTGGGAGGTAAACACTACTTTGTATCGTTTATTGGTGATTTCTCAAGAAGAGTATGGGTTTACACAATGAAGCATAAAGATGAAATACTAGACATCTTTCTTACGTGGAAGAAAATGATTGAAACCCAGACATGCAGAAAGACCAAGAAGCTTAGATCTGACAATGGCGGTAAATACACATCAGATCCCTTATTTGAGGTTTGCCAAAATGAAGGGATAGTGAGACATTTCATAGTTAGTGGAATACCACAACCAAATGGAGTTGCAAAATGCATGAACCGCACTTTGGTGGAAAAATTCCAGTGTATGCTGTCACATTCAGGATTGAGCAAGGCATTTTGGAGCAAGGCATTGAACTATGCTCGTCATCTTGTCAACAGACTACCTACTGCAGCACTAAATGGCAAGACTTCCATGGAGGTATGGTTAGGAGCGCCAGCTAGTGATTATGATCAACTACGTATCTTCAGATGCCCAACTTATTTTCATGTTACAGAATCTAAGTTGGATCCTAGAGCCAAGAAAGCTGTCTTCTTTGGCTTTAGTGATGGTGTCAAGGGATACAGACTTTGGTGCCCTAAATCAAAAAAAGTTGTCATTACAAGAGATATTACCTTTGATGAGTCTACAATGCTGAAGTAGCCAAATCCTCAAGAGAATAAGGAAGCATTGAAGAAGTTAGTGCAGGTGGAGTTTGAGACTCTAAGAAAGACTATTCAGACAGTCAACCACCCTGAAAAGTTTCAGTTGATAGCTCTGAAGAAGATCCTAAAGAGAGTTCAAATGAAAATGAAGATCTAGAGGCCCCACAACAGTCATAACCCATTGCAATCAGAAAAGGAAAAAGGGTTATTAAGCAATCTGGTTGGATGACCGATATGGTGGCCTATGCACTTCTAATCATTGAAGACAATGTTCCTTACACTTTCAAAGAAGTCGTGCAGAATGCAGAAAGTGTCAAGTGAAAGGAGGCTATGGATGAAGAGATCAGGTCACTCCATAAGAACTAGACTTGGAAGTTGGTGCAACTTTCAAAGGGCAAAAAAGCAATTGGGTGTAAGTGGGTTTACACCAAGAATGAAGGCATCCCAGACAAAGACAACATCAGATTCAAAACTAGATTGTTAGTTAAAGGCTATGTCCAGAAGGAAGGAATAGACTACAATGAGATATTCTCACCTATTGTGAATCACACGTCTATTCGTATCTTGCTAGTTTTGGTTGCACGATTTGATCTTGAGCTCGCCCAACTCGATGTCAAAACTGCCTTCTCACATGGAGATCTTGAAGAGGAGATATAGATGTCCCAACTAGATGGTTTCAAAGTTGCTAGAAAAGAAAATTGGGCCTGTAAGCTGAACAAATTGTTGTATGAGTTGAAGCAATCCTCGAGATAGTGGTACAAGCAATTTGATTGGTTAATGATGAAAATGAAATACACAAGAAGTCAGCATGATCATTGTGTATATTTCTGAAAGCTTTCTGATGGTTCCTTCATCTATTTTCTCTTACATGTAGATGATATGTTGATTGCATCTAAGAGCAAGTTAGAGATTGACAAACTTAAGGTACAGTTGCCAAGAGAGTTCAAAATGAAGGATCTTGGTGAAGCAAAGAAAATTCTCGGCATGGAGATCAAAAGTGACAGAAAGAAGGGCATGGTTTGTCTGATGCAAACCTAGTATTTGAAAATGGTGTTAGATAAATTTGGCATAAATGGGAAAACAAAAGCTGTGAGTACACCATTGGCCCCTCATTTTAAGCTTAGTGCTTCAATGTCACCATGCACAGAAGACGAATGGAAGCATATGGCACAGGTTCCATATGCAAATGTAGTTGGTGCATTAATGTATGCTATGGTTTGTACAAGGCCTGACATCTCACATGCTGTGACTATGGTAAGCAGATATATGCATGATCCAGGAAAAGGTCATTGGTAGGTAGTGAAGTTGATCTTGAGGTACTTGTATGGCACCGTTAATATGGATTTGAAGTTCGAGAGAGATCA